TATGTAAGAAACTAATTATGTATTAGGTAATGAAATTGAACCTATACTATGCCCTTAAGGAGATCCAGTTTATTAATTCAAGGTGATCTTTTATTTTACCTGTACAAGAGTGTAAACTTTTTTGTGCTTTTATTTTTTAATTGTGAGAACCACTGATTGGTATGTTCAACAAATTTGTGTATACAAAGAAATGGATAAATCACTGATATATAAGGGAAACTACCTTAGGAAAGAAAAAAAAAGAAAAATAAACAAACTAAATTTTAAAAAAAAAGAATATATAGGTGGTTCATGAACTAGTCAATCATTTTAAAAAATGTAGTCCTTTCTTTCCCATAAAGATCTGATGGAAATAATGGCGGGCGGCAGTTCTGCGGAAGACTGCGAACGAGCCTTCTTGGCTCACCAAGGAGCTGGAAATAAGATTACAGCACAGAGAGTTATGCTCTGAAACCACCGAGAATACACCAAAGATGAGCTCTGCAAAATCCCATTAAGCAGCAGAGCGGCTCTCAGACTCGAGTAAAACCAAACACGTCTGAAGAAAGTATGAAATCCTCGCATGACATTCATAAAGCTCTTTGTTTCGAGTCGTGCAAGCATTTAATGCTCTTGGCTGCTGAATGAAAGGTGAAGGCACAAGTGCACCCAGAGGAGCCTCAGAAGAAATGTCTGGCAATCAACTAAAAAAAATCCCCTTGAAACCCCTGCAGAGCTCAGCTTTCATCTAACTCACAAAGGATTGTCATGAACAGAAGTGAGTGGATAGCAACTGGGTTTAAAGAAAGAGCAGGCTGGGCAAGGGAAGTACAGAAAAGAGGAGAGAGATCAAGAAACACACTGGCAGGGGCCTTCTGAGCTCAGGCCAGGGGACTTTGAATGGACCCCCTTCTCTTCAAGGCCATGCTCAGTGGGAGACCTGGCTAACTGCCCTCTTCCCACGAGCTGGCCAGTGTGTGTGGCGGGTGGTCTGCAGTGTCCCTCAGCAGTGACAATGCTCCTGTCACGCTTTCAAACTGGCATGTTGGCTTCACATTTCAGAGGCTGTTATCTGCTGAGTTCTTTTTAGGGTGGGGGAGCCTCAGTGGGTGCGCAGGAAAGCTGCAGTTCTCCACCTGCCAGGCTGAAAGGGGCAACGGCAGGGAATGCCTGTGGTGACTGACAACTGAGGTAGAGACCCTCGTCCTGACAATACTCACACCTGTGGCTCGCCTGGCCTCAGCAGTGACGCTTCCACCAGCGCTCACCTCATCACCGTATGCCTTCACTGGACAGGAAGCAGTTGTCACTTACAATGAACATTTGAATCACAATGCATGTATGGCTTATGAGTTCCCGATGTTGTAGTTAAGTGCTGTCAAGTCGTAGGCAACTCATAGTGACCCTATGAACAAAAGTCCTGGACACCTGTATAACTTTCATCCTTTCTCCAGGTTCATAGGGTTTCCGGAGGCAAGCTATTACGGAAGTGGATGCCACTCCTGCTTCTGAGCTTGTTTTAATCGGGGAGCTCCACCCAATACCGTCCACCATGGGTAACAGTTATCACATTTGACACACCTGTGTCACAGCGTTCAGCTTCACAGCAATCACAAATGGCAAGTGGACACACCAGGGCTATACAACCTAGAAGAATGTTTGACGGAATTCTGTATGTATTATTTAAAATGAAATGGAAGATCTTCCAAGTCAAGATGGTAAATTGTGCCCATTCATGATGCCCTCTTCCCTTCCAAAACATGCAGAAACACTGCAGAATGTATACGTTGCTGTGGTTGCTGCGTGCCGGAGAGTTGGACCTGACCCATAGGTGACCCTCCAGTGAGTCTCCCAGAGGCAGTAAATCACACAGGAGGAGATGATCCATCTTCCACTCACGGAGCAGCTGGTGGATT